CGACTGGTTTGCCATTTAAGTGGAATTTATGCTGCCATACCCACAGAGCATCGAGGCTCCAGAGCTTTCGGCTGGGGTCTGTGTCTGTCATCAATTGCCTGGCGGCGCTGCCAAATGATGCATGCCCCACAACCGATGGGGCACCTACACATAGTTCCTATCCAATTGCCTCTCCCCCTTTATTTTTTTTTTTTTTTTTTGTGTTTTTTGAGGAGGAGGCCATCGGTGGTACCTTAATGCCAATGGAAACGTGAGAATTTCATCGTCATTGAAGATGCACTTTGGGTTTTCCTTTCCTTTTCTTTTTTTTTTTGCCGATTTTTATCGCACACCATTTCGTTTTTCCCACTGCCTTTTGCTTTTGGGTTTTTCCTTTTTTTACTTTTTGTCGCATTTAGCTGGAGAGCCAATGAAAAACTACGTGAAAAGCTAACAAAACGTGAGCGGAAAATTAAATAATTGAAAATCCACTGCGGCTGCTGCCGCTGCCGCTGACGCCGATGCTCCCGCGTGAAAGGTGTACGGGAAAGGTCGTTCTGGGTGAGGCGGCGATAGATAAATGCATTGTGATTATTCACTGGCTTAGCAAATGAAACCGAAATTGGCCATTGACCACCAGCAGCATCTCCCATAGAGAGCTATGGCCAGCCACTAAATCACCAACAACAGTCGAAGTCGAGGCAGTCGAAGTCGAGGCAGTCGAAACGGTGGAAACAGCACAAAAATCAATACAAATAAATGAAGACAAATATCCAAAGCACACAAATGTTGAGCGAAAACAAAAAGAAAAGAATAAATAAAGAAGAGTACAGAGAAGAATGGATGCCCTTGCAGACATCTACATATCCATACATTTCCTATGAAAAATACATACATCACATAAAACAAAGGGTATCTGTAGTCGTTGGCCTAAGAAGCGCAGATCAAAATAAAGACAAAAATCTACGCAGCAAAGTAGAGAGTCCCGGTTTCAAAGGGCTAGCAGAGGGTCCCACAAGGTGCTCGTGCTCGTGCTCGTGCTCTCTCTCTCTCTCTCTCTCCTGCGAAAGCACTGCTGAGAACGCTTTGACGCTTCGCACTGCTGAGAGGCCAGCTTTGGCGCGAGAGATAAGAACGAAGAAAGAGCGCGCTTTGCTCAATTTTGAGCAATTTCTCGCAGATGAAATGAACCTGATCGGACATGTTTGCCAGAGAGATAAAGAGCATGCAATATGCATACATACATATGTATGTGTGGATGCACGAGTATGTAGCAGTAAATGTCAGAATCGCAGCAGCTCGGAACTGAAAGCCGAGTGTGGCGGGACTTACATATAGTTGTTTTTGTTGCTGAGAGAGCGATTTCAAGAGCAGCCATTGTGCGTGAGAGAAGCTAAGCTCTCCAAGATCCAGGGAAAACAGAAGAGGCGGCATACACACAGATGTACATACATATGTATGTAGATAAATATGGATAAATAAATGCAAATATGTAAGAAATTTGGTTATCCCAAAGAACCGCTGCAGAACACACATGAAATTGAATATTCCGCTCATCCGAAAGTGCTGATTGATTCTATATGACAAAGAATGGACGCCCATTGTCAGGCGCCCAGCTTCAGGCATGAGTCAGATGAAACTGAGACCCCACCAGAACCATTGTACGGTTTGCTTATCGGCACGGAGTGCAAAAAAAAAAGTGATATGATCCGAGGCAAAGTTCTTCTCAAAATCATAATACCTCACGTCTCTGTGCAAAAAGTGACAGAAATCTTCACGTTCCGTTCCTGTCAATAAAACAAGGCAAAATGTGACTCAAAGAAAAAGAAGCAAAATACAACAACAAACAAATAAAAAACTCGTGCAAATAAGAAATAAATTTGTATTTAAGAGCAAATGTTTGGCTATGCAAACGGCGTGCCACCCGAGCGGCGGACAGGCAGGCAGAGACTTGAATTATGGCAGCAGCCAAAAGATGCGTTGACAAGACCAAAGAAAATACAAAGAAAAAATGCCAGAAATAAAATGAAATCAAAAGAGTAAAAGAGTGGGGGGGACGGTGGGGGACTGTAAAAAACCAAAGAAATTAAAGGCCCTGTCAATTGGCGCAACATCAAAAAACGCTCAGACGGACGACGACGGGGACAAGCTCTGCTTTTATTTATATTTTTTGTGTATTTTGTGTTTCAATGTGGCTTCTGTTCATGGGCTAACAAGCAGCACGAAAGCGTGTCCAAGAGATATGCTGGATGGCCTGAAAGGGCCAACGAAAGTGAATCTCATTTCAAATGATGCGGAACAGAGGGTCGCCTCTGATGAGGGGGGCGAAAGAAAAACTAGCGATCCGCCTTCACCGCCAACGCCAACGCCACCTCCATAGCCATATTCATCTCCATCTCCGCCTTTTTCGAGTTTAAAAATAATCATCGTGCTCCTTGTTTGATGTACGATGTACGATGTAAGGCATGCAGTTTTCTAGTTTTGCAAAGTTTTTCCTTTTAATTGGACAAGAGATTATCGAGCGAGCAGCTGCAATACCATTTATATGGGGGGCGCCCAGTGCAATCAAAGACATCGATTACGGAATGATGAAGTACAAAAACCTTAAATCACCAAATTGCCCCAAACGATTTTGGCACTGCCACTGCCACTACCACCGTGCCACAGAGCCACCGTGCCACCGTGCACGGAACGCAATCAAGCCAAAAATATCACATTACAGTCAATCCAGTGAGGAATACAGAGAAAAGGTTGAGTGGCATTGAAAGAGAGAGAGAGAGAGAGAGAGAGAAAGAACAAGAAGTAATCGTTCCACGAGGAGGAGTTCACTTGAAAGAAAAAGCAGCATCCAAAAAGGCGAGACATCAATTGTGCAGCGCTTGGAAAAGACAACAAATAAACGTTACGCGGGACTCCAGGACTCCAGGACTACAGGACTCGGATCGGGTTGATTGCAGCAGCAGCAACATCGAGAAATGGAGACTGCTGGCTGCTGCCTGCTGGCTGGCGACTGCCCTTTTGATTGATTTGTGCCCCGGACATTAAATGCAATCAAAGTAACAATATTAGTCCTGGCCACGCCCACCCAGAGTCACTCAATAAATCAAGTCAGGGCAGGCTCCAGCCCCCCCCCCCCCCCCCCCCCCCCCCCAGCACACCTTTCGGTACCAACGGATTCGATTATGTCGTGGCCTGAACACGCAAAGGCCTAAACCCCACGACGGGTTATTAAATTGCCTCCTTAAATCCTACACAAAACAAACAAAGAAAATCCCACCCAACAGAACGGAACAAATAAACACAAAGGCGGCGAACGAGGAGGGGGAGGCCGTACGGGGGTAGCCCTGGCGGAACGGAAGGAACTAACGGCTGAAAAACAAAAGCTCACTTCCTGTCGTTCCTCCATCGAGGAGCTTTATGAAATATAAATGAAAGAAAGAACAAAAAAAAAAACCAAATCCAAAATTACACGCAATTTATGGATGTGGCAGGTGTGGGAAGTGGGCGTGGCAATGGCCATTAATGTTCGGCTTTAAAGAGCACGCGACAAAAACAGGTCTACGGGGGGGGGCTCTACGGGGGCTGGACTGTGACAGGTGTGGGGTGGGGTGGGGTGGGGTGGTGCCAGGCAGCAATTACCGTTAAGCGGATTGTAGTTTACACTCTCCTATGGGGGCACACACACATGGGAACACTACTCCGTAATCTAGAACTAAATGCGCGCATTCCTACGTTACATTTCCCCCAACCCCAACCCCACCCCCGCCTGCACCTACCCCTCTGCCGTGGCACCTCCTACTTGTCGATGGGGTATACTGGTTTGCTGGAACACTTTGTTTCGTATCCTAAAGGGTGCACTTATTCGACTATCGGACCGCCTTTTTGGTACAGGATTTTTTCAGGTGGGATTTCTGAGACCCAAAGAGACACAGAGAGAGAGAGCGCTCGAATGGCACTCCTTGAGTGATTCCATCTTTGGATTTTGTTTAAATTTCAATCGCAATCGGTTTATATTTTCAGTCAAAACTTCTGGGGCAACTATTTCTTTGGTAGTAAATAAAATAGCGGATATCCCTTAGTCGGAATTTGCACTCCTTTATTCTTTGTTTCTAATTTTCATTCCGTTATTGTTATGGGCTCTCTACCAACCGCTCTTTCCACCTCTTTCGGAGCATTTTCACACTTGTAAATCAATTAATTTTACAGCTTTCCTGTTGTTGTGGCCACTCAAACCCCCCGAGCCCCCCGATCCCCCCCGTTCCCCCCCGTTCCCCCCTATTTAGACCCCATCCAGCACCTGCTGGGCTGGTCATTTAGCCTAAGCGCCAGTTAAGCTCCAAATGCTCGGCTGCTCGGCTGCCCAAGGATTGTTGTAGTCCTGGGGAAGCCTCGGCAATGTTGTGTGCGTGTGTGTGTGTGTGCTTGTGTGGGAACTTTTGTTGTTTCGAAAGCAAATTGTTGGCTGTAAATGTTGGCCGTTTGGGCCAACCGGCTTTTGCGATTTGCTTGAGCGGCTGCTGTCTTGGACGGACCGTTGGAAATGCTGGTGAGTGTAATTAATACTCGTAGCAGTAGCAGCAGTAGTGGCAGTAGTTGTGGCAGTACCTTTGACACCACTTGGCCCCCACAAACACTCACACACACACACACACTCGCACACACAGTAGTTTGGGGTCAATCTCTGGTAAAGAAGCGTCTGCAATGCGGTGGCTAAAGTGTAATTTGACTTAATGGAGCTCAACGTATAGGATGTCAACGTTGAACGGAATCAAGGAATCGGGCAGGGGGCTTTGCCGGGGATTTGTGGCCATTCAGAGTGCAGAGGGTCCTCTGTAGTGTCTGTCCTTGCTGGGTTAAAGGGGTCTAGGGTTGCCCATCCCCATCCCAGGATGCCGTACAAAAATCACTGGAAATGTCCGAGAAACAAAAACAAAAATCTCACAGTCTAATTTCAAAATTGAAAGTATTCAGATTCCGTTCCGAGAATCTTTTAAAAATATCACAAAATTTCTTCCGTTCTTCCATTTTGTTTGTTTTAACTCAATTTTTAAGTCCCTTTGTTTGCGGGTAATGAACTAAGCGCGATGCCATCGAAACTATTGAAAGTCACACCGCTGGGACCTTTGACCTTCCTCAAAGAGTACAACAATGCGATAAGCATATCCGTGGATAATATATGCAAAGTTCCAGTGCTGTTTAGGGTAAAAGCAAAGGCAAAGGCAAAAGAACGATCCTCGATGATAATCCATGCATCCTTCTTTGCAGCTCCAAAGCACCGTCTGGGGCAAGTTCAAAATGCATCCCCGTTGGGGCGTCCTGTCGCCCAACGAACACACCCAATGCCGCATCACCCTCGTCGGGGGGGTGGAGCTCTCGAAACGCGACCGCGATCGTGTGATACTGGTCTGCATGACGGCCCCCATTAACTCGGTGGACATGGACTTTACGTCGGCCTTCTGGCGTCGCAACATCTGCTACGATCCGATGGTGGAGAAGCACTCGATGAGCTTCCAGCAGTCGAACGATGGCAAGCAGGAGACTGTCAAGCATCGCTCGGTCCCCACCTACTGGAGGTAGTCCTTCAGAGGAGAAGGAGAACAAGGAGGAGGAGCACAAAAACCCGTGCGAGTGGCCATGTCCTGGCAATTAGCCGCCCCGACTGTCCTGACTCTCCTCCTCCTCCTCCTGGCCGTAATGGCCGACACAATGACAAAGTAATTGGTGGATTGGTCTATGTTGTTGATGGGCCTTCATTAAAAACTAAGAGCGTGTCTATCTGTCTGTCTATCTGTCTGTCTAACTGCCTGCCGGCCTGCCACCTGCAGCTGGGCCTCCCTGTGGCGCCCTGTCTCTCTGTTGCACAACAGCATATCAAGTGCTGGCCCGTACAATGCTCAAGTATCCTTCTCTGGTTGCATCAAGTGGCAACTGCAGTGGCAATGGCAACAGATAAAATGGGCCCCCCACACCCTCCCCCACCCCCATCATTGATTAATTACTGTGGATTTTTTGCGGCAATTAAACCCAACAAAAATGGTAACTGGAGACCTCAAAGCAATTAATGAAGGAAGCAAGGAAGAACTCTCCTTCTTGGAGAGAGCGAGACAGACAGACAGAGAGAGAGAGAGAGGGATAGCAAACGTGGCATAAATGTACCCCGGCCATGCCTCTTGTGGTGCGCATTGGAGCAAGAGGCCAAACGCCTAAAAACTAAAATAAAGACATTTGGAAATTTTGCTAGCCATGAAAGTCGCTCGGCCAGTAAATTAGGTTCATGTCTCAACTATCGAGGGCGGGGATGTGGCAGGGTGCCTGCTTGACCCAAAACAAACACTCGAAAGATGATCATGATGATGGCGATGTGGCAGCAGGTGGAGGAGGCGTTGCCAAAAACTGGCCACTTGTTCTGCCTCAGTTGCTGTTGCTGTTGCTGTTGTTGGCTGGCCAACAGCCCTGAACAATGGAGTAAATCATAGCCAAAGCCAAAGCCAAAACCCTCTCGAGCCTCCTCCTCCTCCTCCTGCTGCTCTCTCTAGTAATAATAATGAAAAGCCACACAAAATGTGGATGTGGATGGCCATTCAGAAACTGTACGCTGGAACGAAATGTATCTTTGTATCTCTGTATCTGTGCCTTGTGCAACCTGCAGTTTGTTTGTGCCCCTGAATTTACGATCCACAAAAGGTAGCAGGCCAGGAGGAGGAGGAGGAGACATGAGACGTGACCGACCAACAAAACGTTACATTTTTCCAAAATAAAAGAAAAAAGAAAAAATTCCGCAAAAAATATATAAAAATTGTTGTAAAAATTGCAGCTCATGCGAAGCGATAAAACCAGACCCTCAACCCCTTCCTTGGGGGGGGGGGGGTCAAATCTCAGTCATAAACTATACAATGACTTTGCATTTGCTTAACCCATTGGTGACCCCTGCCCCTGGCACCCATCGTGCGGGGCAGGGCGGGGCGGGCGGTGGAGGGTCTCTTCCCCCGTTTTCTGCATGATTTAATGCGTAATTTTCAGGAGTTTGCAAAATTTTACGTATAATTTATCATTTTTACACCAGGAAACGGGACGAGAACTTTTGCACTGGTTTTGGATTTCTTTTGGGACGACACCTGCCTCTGGCAGCGGCAGTGGCAGCGGCAGTGGCAAGCGGCAGTGGCAAGCGGCAGTGGCAGTGCCAGTGTGGCACATCCAACCAACTCGTTGCCATAACAAATGGTTCCCATGGCCAAACATTTTGTGACCACAACTCATTGACATTTGAGATTTAGTGGCGAGGCTCCCGGCTCCCGGCTTCCAACTCCCGGCTCCTCCCACCCACCCGACTCCCTCCTAGAGCGCAGCCTTAATTAAAATTTTCCTCCCCCCTCGCCCCACCCCACTCCATTCAAAATGTGGTCCTGGGAATAATAATAAGCTAGTGCCGGTCCTCCGCTCCATGGTTGATAAATGTTCTCCTGGCCGTTCGGTGGGGATTTTCGCACAGACTTTGAGCATGTCCAAAAATATTAAATGAAAAGTGCCTTTAGGCTTGGGCTTGGGCCTGGGATCAAAATTGATTTGCCGATGGGCAGATGGTTTTCAGGTGGCAGCCATGGCAATGGAGATACTGGAGAGGAGAGGATGAAACTCTAGAAGTTTGAGCATTAAATGTTCAAAATTGAATACAAAATTTCAATGGAAACATGGCTGCTGTTTTCAATCAAATCAAAAGTGAAAAGTTTCAATCATTTGCCATCTTCTTGCCTTTGTTTAAAGCTCTCCCAAAATATATTGAATATATACTCAAACTTAATTAAAAAATAATTAAACTGGTTTCCAAGCCACAATATGTTTGGAATGCAATATGTCCTCCTCAATCTACAGGAGTCCCCCTGATGCCAGACTCCAGAGCCCAAAGAACAAACTATCATCCTCCTCCGCCGCCGCCCCCCCCCCTCGCCTTGAAAGCAATTAAAAATGTAATGCATATTTGGGCCTTTGATTTAAGTTCTCCCAGAGAGAAATATAGACAGATAGAGTGCGGGGCGGGGCGGGGCGGGGAGGGGCGGTCACATTCTTGGATCTGAGGCTTTTTAACTTTTGTGCCCTTTGGCCTTTGACCGTCGCCCATAAATTATGCGATGGCAAATATTTTTGGTATTTATGAGAGAATTATTTGCATTACATGCCCCTGCAGCAGGCAGCATGCAGCATGCAGCAAGTGCAGCTCCTGCTCCTCTTTCAGTCTTCATATTAATTACACAATATTCATTTGCATACGAGAGAAGGGCTCTCTGCGCTCTGCTCTCTGAGCTCTGCTCTCGGCTCCCGCATGGATTCATGGGTCAAGTTATCGATCGGATATGCCAAAGACTTCAATTAGTGTAAGGATGGAATTTGTGATTAATTTGTGATTGATTTGTGTGCAGGTGCACGCTGCACGTTGCACGATGCCCGTTGCACGTTGCATATACAGAAGAGTACAGTTACGGCCACATCCCGTTCAATTTGTCGTCTCATCTGGCCCTTTTCCTCTTCTCCTCTGGCGGTTCTCCATTGCCTTTCGATGCCCTGCCCCATAAGTCACACACTTTGAAATGCAACACATGGCAGCAGCAGCAACTGTAGAGATTTTTGCTTCGGTTTGTTTTCTCTCTCTCTCTTTTTCATCTTCCATTTTGCCACTGATGCTGCCACATTTGCCTCTACAATATCCTTCTTCTTGTGCTGCCTGTCTCTATTTTAAGCCCCCTCTGTGTGCTGCCTCTCTCTCTCTCTCTCTCTCTGTCTGGGGTTCGTTCGCATTATCACCCGGACGGAATACACGGAGAGCATCAGTGGATTTGCCGTAATTGTGTATGGAGTGTGTGGCACGTCCATCTTCCATCTTCAGGGCAGTGCCCAGTGCCCGTACCAGAGCTCTTCTTTCTCTTTAATAAACTTTTCTTTCTCTGTCTCTGTCTTTGTCCCTTTCTCTGTAGCTGCCTCTGTTTGTTTTTCCTGCTGCTTTCCCACTGAAGTGGCTGCCAGGACACCCCATGCTGTGTATTTTTCCTGAAACGGCTACTGTCTGAGTGTTGTCGATATGCGTATGGGTCCCATGCCCATTTCTGAGGCCAAAGGCAGCTAAAATTAGACTCCAGACGATTTTGTAGGAGCTCTCTTTCCGTCCGTCCGTTCATTAAGCGGCCATGGCAATGGCATCAAACATCACCAGAGAAGAGGGGCACAGCATTTTAATTTGCGGCATTACGGCGTAGTAAATGAATTGAGGGGGGGCAAGTGGCAGGGGCAGAGTACATAAGGTATGGTACGGCATTATAAAGCGCTTAAACAACGCAAAAGATTCCCCCCCCAGCCCTTGCCTGTCCCCCACCACCGTAAGATTCCGCCGTATAGCGCATTAAAATGGCATTTGGGGGGATGGGGGGGTGGGGGATTGCGGTTATTAAAGTAAATGAATTGAGCTAGATTTTACTTGATTTCCCCAATAATTGTATTTTGAGTAGATATTTCGTTATTTCCTTTGTTGTTGCGGACATACCTGAAAGACAGAGAAGAAAGAGGGAAATAATATTATTATTAAATGTTGGAAATTGTATGGCAATTGTAATTTATGGTAATTTATGGCGATTGGAATCTCAAAAGAGTGCCACACCAATTTGTGGCTCTCTGTGTCTCTCCCTCTCTTTCTCTCACAGCGTAGCTTAGCTTAGTATTATTTCTCTTGTATTTCCATCAATTCAACATTTCAAATGCATATTTTGTGCATTTTATTTGGAACAATTCCCATTTGTATAATCATTTCAGTTTTTAAAACACGAAATACCATATTTGTGCGGGAGTTTTTTTTTTGTTGTTGTTGTTGTTTTCTAATTCGAATATTTGATGTTCGTATAATTATCAGAAAAGTCGATTGGCTGCCAACCAAATATTATTTATTAATATTTAGCTGAATAAATATGTATTTATTTTCAATAGAAAAAAAATTTCAGCAGTTTTTAAGCTTTAAAGCGAAACGAAATAAAATAAAATAAAATATTGTCCCCACATAAATCCGCTTATTTTCACATGAATTGAGTTCAAAAAGTCGACAGCAAGCACACACACACACACACACAAATATACCTATGGAAATACCCCCACCCCTCCAACCCCCTTCCCCCCTAAGCGGCACATCTGCATTTTTGCGCTGATTCGCTGCGTGACAAAAATGCAAAGCATAAAAATCGAAATGGAATAGAATGGAATGTACATACTCGCACATATGTACATAAAAACAAAATCGAAATAAATACTCGTATGTGTGTGTGTGTGTTGTTTGTATGTGTATAAATTTCGATTAAAATGTGCGTAAATTGTTTGGAATTTCATAGCCAAAAGCGGATTCCCAGGCTTTGTCTGGGCGATAGAACGCAAATAAAAAAAATATTTATATTTGTTTGAATTTGTAAACAAATTGAGAGACCAAAGAAGCGAGAGGGGGGCCGTACAGAAAAATAGAGGAATTACAACACAAATGAAACAAAAACCGCAATAAAGGCACCACCAAGATGCGGGTGGCCGACGCGTTGATACCCTTTTCACAACAAGCGGCTCCAGGGGGCAAGAAAACACACCGATTTTTGAATAATTTATTCGGTTCAGTGAAATTAAATCGAATTAATTTTGATTTAAACGCAAAATGCATTCAAAGGAGAAATAAACAAACAAAAATGTAGTCAATATTAAATTACAATTGAATATTAAATTAAATAGAAATATCAAATAGAAGTAAAATATTTCTTTTA